TAGAAATCATACTTTTCGAGAAAGCGCGAATACGTAAAGTGTTGAGACACTAAAACTATACTTTTTTACAAATTGTGCCAATTTCTTTTTAAATTCAAGCAAAACTTTGGTCGGAAATGCTTATCCCTATACCGCTAACTACTCCGATTTATTAGCCTCATAAAAATGCCTAAACAGAGCGTGGATACCTTACCTATTCTCATTCATCTGTGTGCACTTCACGGCCAACATATTCTTTCATATAATCTAGATCGCACACGACAAAAAAAGTGCATACGAGGCAAGTAGTTCCTTTACAGATAGAAATTTTTTTTCACAAACTATATAACGAATCATTTAGCTTAACTATTTTTAAACCCTTCCACGTCGTAGGCTTCTCTTGCTCCATTGATGGCAATAAAAATGATTTGTCTACCGTCTTTCGACACCATGAAGGCTCCCACGCCGACTACAGAAAGGATGAGGATGACGCTGATGATGGCCTCGAGGATGATCCATGCTTCGGCGACATAAAATCGTCTGCCAAGGTCATGGGTGTCCAGGGGCGCCAGAAATCAAGTAGAGTACGTAGTCCTCTGCGTGACTCGACCACACCGCCCATCGACCTCGATCCTGCTTCCAGTTATCAGGAACATGCTGGTGGCAAAGAAGAAATAATGGATAGAAGAGCATACGATGGGTTCCACGGCGCCACGAGAATACGAGATGAAAAGAATGTCTCTTCTTCGAGTCTGGCAGACTCGCTTCCTGCTAGTCGAATTCTCCTTCCAGGTGGCGCCAAAGTATTTGTTACAAGCAGACCGAAAGCTGTAACTCTAGGCCATGAGCGAACACTTGGAACTTCGGCCAAAAAGCTGGGTGGACTAGGAGATCTTGGCTCGATTCTTCGTCGCAATTCTGGTTTACAGTCAGTTAAACGTGGTTTTGGTAGTATGGCTGATGAAAACTCTGGCAGAGAGAGCGATGATATTGACATTAATACTACTAAAAATGACTGTGGAAATCATATCAGAAAGTTATCTGATAATAATTTCGTCTCAATAGATAGCGAAAATGACTTGAATTCGCGAGCACAGACCTCTGAAGAATTTTCTCAGGACTTGGTCGGCAGTCCTATGATGACTTCGGTGTCGATTAAGGGCCAAAATTATATCAGTTCACGCCGATCAAAAAGGACAAATAATAATAACAATAGTAGTAATAAGAAAGGAGAAAAGAATTCAACGTCTCTGCGGACTCCTACAGAGGTTTCAGATGGCTATTTTTCTGCTGCAAATGGCCAAGAAGCCAATAATGCAGTGGCACTAACATCCACGAAGGCTGAGGAGTCAGATTCCTTTAGAAATGTTTCTATTCTAGCCGCAGCAAAGAAAAGAGATGGATCCACGGTCAAGCAAGAAAGTGTGAATCAGCCTCAGGGTCGCGTCCGAACTTCCTTGATTTCGCCAGCTTCAAAAGCTGACACTCTTGAGACTGAGAAATCTGTGCTAAGAACTGCTTTGAGCTCCCAACCAGCCACAATCTATCCGCCTGAGTACTTGGTTCATCTGCCCAACTGTCTGGCTGATGGCCGTTTGGCCACAGAACCTGATGAATCTCCTACACGAATCAGTGTAGCCAACTTTCTATCAAGATGGAAAGAACTTGGCCCATCTGGCCTAGAGGCAGAGTTTGAGGAACGCTTCAAGCATGAACCGGTACGCGGATCCTGTCATAGATTTACGTAAGTTTCTAGCCTACAATTTTATAATATCTTTTTGCAAATCCTTTAAGCAGCTTATGTTTATCACAAGTTTAGTCAGCTTAGAACGCTTGCTTTTTATTTCACCATTCTCCATTATTTTAGTCAATTCTCTAAGATAAGAAATCTTTGTAGTATATGCTTAGCTAGTTTATCACCTATAAGAAACTGGATCATTTTCGATGTGTACTATCAATGAATAGTTTTAGCGAAGCATCGGCATAAATCAGGCTCCTAATATACATAGATCTTCTACTAATTACAAAGTTAAATTATCGAAACGTCTTGGAATGTACCAAGTCCACAGTTCGACTCTTGAAATTATCATGCATACTATGGACTCTAGACAATATGCTTTCCTCTAATTTTCCTGCCAATCTGACCAAACTGCAAGAACAAAGTCAAATGATTATTAAAATATAGAGTTTAATGGCAAATGCACATTTGCCTATGGATACAAGATATATCGTCAAAGACATGAGCTCATGGAAGACTACTTATTGTGTGGCTCTG